CCAGCACAGGAGCTATTCACAAGAACAAAGCAGAGATTCCTGAAAAAATGTTGCAAGTTCACAATAGAGAAATGTATATAGAGTGCATTCATTGGATTTCGGAAAGACATAACATTGGTGCCCTATATGGCAAAAAACAAGTAGTATTGATACTGTCAACATTACCCTATAATGATAAGATTGATACTGAGGCCAGTATGGAGGAGGCTGGAGACAGGAGGTCCTGGGAGTTCCAGGTCAGCCTGTACTACATGGTGATTTCAAGGCTAGCTCGCACTACATGATGAGAAGTTATGCAGCAACCATGATGTCGTTTGAAACACAAAGCATTGTCCATAAATAGTTTCATGGTTTACAAAGAAAATAGTGTGCATAAAATATTATGGAGAAATGTTCTTAGAGGATTGGAACTGGAATTGATAAATGGTCAATTACAGCAGAGAAAGAACAGTATGTATTTGCCCAAAGAACTCCTCAAAAGAATTCTGGAGCAGACTGGTGAAAAGACAGGTGAAGCCTCATGAGAACATCATAAGAAAAAAGGAAAACCAGTATGTCCTACCAAAGAAGACAGAAAAACAAGGCAACTGTGTTATCAAAGTAAATGATACTTGTGTGTGAAACATGCTTTTCGCATGTGTGAAAATTGCCTTAGGTGTGATATTTGAACTAAAGGCTATTTTTGTGATAGGGTTTTGTTTATGTTTTCATTGTAGCTCACATAGGAACTTATTTCTTTAAACAGTTGATGTGGAAAATGTTAATGTTTATTCTAAACACTCTTTACATCTTTGATATTTTATTTTCCTGTTAATGGCATTATATAATATAATGGGAAACTCCTGACAAAAGAGGAAGAGGAGAGCTGATAGGTATGGCCTGCCAAACAGGAACAGAAAGCTAAACACATGTTTTTTCTGTGTGGAATTTGTATGGAACATGCTGTCTACATGTGTGAAGACTGCCTCGGGTGTGATAATTGAAGCAAAGGTTATTTCTGTGGTAGAATTTTATTTGTATTTTCATTGTAGTTCATATAAGAATATATTTCTGTGGTTATTTTTTAGATCTTATAAGCAGGTAAAACAGTTGATGTTTAAAATGTTGATGCTGTTCTACACAATCATTATATATGAAAAATTTAATATTTTATTGTCCTGTTAAGAAAACATTGTTCAGTGTAATAAAACTCATAAAATTAAAATTAATAATTCATCAATAGAAACAGTCCTAAAAAATAAATGTGGGCATTACATACCCCCACAATGCATGTGATATGCAGTATACAAGAAATATACTTATTTTGCCTGAAATCCAAAAGATCTTTGGTAACAACTTTGAGAGCCTGTACCCTAATTAAATGGAAAATTTAGAAGAAATTGGTAGATTTCTAGATACATATGAACTACCAAACTGAACCAAGAAGTTATAAAAACACTGAATGATCCAATTTCAGTAAATGAAATTGAAGAAATAATAATATCACCAACTAAAAAAACCCAGGTCTTGATGGATTCACTGCTGAATCTACAACAGCCTTAGAGATGATCTAATGCCAGTAATTTTCAAAATTTTAATGAAATGGAAAAGGGTAGCAATACTCCTAGTCATTCCTGCAAGCAAGCATTAACTGATGTCAAAAGAAGAAAAGGACCTAACAAAAAACAAAACTACAGGCCAATCTCTTAAATGAACATAGATGCAAAACTATTCAGGAAGATTCTGGAAAAAGCATGCAACAAATCACCAAAAAATGATACACCCAGTAGGATTCATTTTAGGGATACAGGAGTAGTTTAATATACACAAATAAATGTACACAAATCAATAAACACAATGTACAAAAATAAATAAATGTAATACACCACATAAACAGAAGCAAGAACAAAAATCTCATGATCATCTCAATAGACGTAGAAAAAAAGCACTTGGCAAAGTCCAACATAATACAAAATCCAAAATATGTATAGGTCTTTGTCTCAATGTGATAAAAGCCATCTATGACCAATGGCCTACATCATATTAAGTGAAGAGCAGCTGAAGACTTTTCTTCTAAGAAAGGAACAAGAGAAAGATATCCACTTTTGTTTGACACAGCAGTTAGACAAGAAAAACAAATAAGAAGAATATGGAGAGGAAAGGAAGAAGCTGTCATTATTTGGTGATGACATGATCCTCTAAATGGACAACCCCAAAAACTCCAACATAAGACTCCTAGAATTAATAACCAAATTCAGCAACATAGCAAAATAAAAGGTACACGCTCAAATATCAATAGCCTTACTTTACATCAATGATAAACTCAGAGAGAAATAAAAGGAATAATACCTTTTACAGTAGCATCAAGAAAAATGGAAAGCTTAGGAATTAACCTAAGGAAGTGAAAGACTTCTAGAATGAAAACTACCATACTCTGAAAAATGAGATGGGAAAGAACATCCGTAAATGGAAAGATATCTCCTGTTCCTGGATAGAGAGAAGCAATATAGTCAAAACGGCCATATTCCAGAACTATTACAACGCAGTAATGCAATCCTAATGAAAATATCAATACCCTTCCTTACAGAACTAGAGAAAGAGAACCCAAACTTCACATGGAATCAAAATAATAAAAACAATTCTGGGCAACAAAGGCAAGGTGGGGAAGCAACAAAATCATGGATTGGAAATTATATTGCAAAGCTTTTGTTAAAAGAGCATGTTATTGCCAAAAAATACAGACGTGTGGATCAAGGGAACAGAACAGAGGATGCAGAAACAGCTCCAGTCGTACTCAGCTATCTTTTCTTTGACACAGGGGCCAAATGCTATCACTAGAGGAAAGAGATCATCTTAATTCTGGAAAACTCTTTCTCCATATGCTGCAGATTAAATCTTGATTCATCTCACTAATACACAAAAGTCATCTCACTATACATAGAACTAAAATAAAAATGTTTCAAATATTAAAATTAAATATTGAATTAAATATTAATATCAAATACCAAAAAAAGAAAAACTATCTGTTGAAAGACGAAAGAGGTAAAACTCTTGAAGACATAAGTATAGGCAAAAACTTTGAACAGAACCTTGTTTGCACAAGAAATGATATCAAGAATCAATAAATGAGATTACATTAAATTAAAAAGATTTGGTTCAGCAAAGGAAGCCAACAGAATGAGACAATATACAGAATGGGGAAAAAATTGCCAGCTACTTCTCAAAGGACTAATATCTACAATATATAAAGAACTTAAAAAAAAAAGGTCCTTCAATTTAAAGACCCAGTCACAAAATGGGCACCTGATGTGAATAGATACTTCTCAGAGGAAGTATAGATGGACAATAATTACATGAAAAAAATGTTCAGCATTGTTTGCCGTTTGGGAAATATAAATTTAAAAATTACTGAAATTTTATATCACTCCAGGAAGAATGATTATCTTCAAGAAATCAACTAATAAATGCTGGAGAAGCTGCCAGAAAAAGGAAGCCTTCCTCACTGTTAGTGTGAGGGTAAACCGCACAACCGCTATGAGAACTAGTATGGAGATTCCTCAAAAAACTAAAAATAGATATTCAATTTGAGCCAGCTATTCCTTTTCTAGATAACTTCCCCAGAGTGAAAGGCATCACATTACAGTGATACAGGAGTGCGCATGTCGAGAGCAGCCTAACTGACAACAAATAAATCTTGGAAGCAGCCTCTATGTCCCTCACCAGATGAATGAATAAAAAATTATGTGGTATTTTTAGACAATAGAGTACTATTGCTCCATGAAGGAAACCAAACTTGAGTCATTTATGGGAAAATTGACACCTTGAGACCATAATATTAAGTGAAATAAATCAGGCAAACAAGCTTAAATATTGCATGGTTTCTCGTATGTAAAAATTTTTTATATGTAAATAAAGAATAAAATAAAAGACAGAAAATAGAAAAAGTTATTGTTATCCAACCTAGACATTATATATAAACGTGAACCTTGATACAGTTATAGGTTTATAGCTATATTGGTATATGTGTTTTAAATGGGTTTCTGTCTGTTAGTCCAGCCGTTAATCTTTGTTTATGAAAATTAACTTTACAAAGACTTAAAAATAAATAAATGTGATGCTGGCAAAAAATAAGATATGTTATATACATATACCTTCTCTCCACAATGAATGTCATTCTTATATATTGCAACTATGCATGAATAACGATTTAAACATCTAATAGAATGAATATACCAGATGTGTCATTGGTAGGGGTCTAAATTTTAGGGACCAGACTGGGGTGGGGATCAGAATACTCAGAGCAGTCTTGTCTGGGATCCCTGCCACCTGGTTACATCAATTGGGTGGGAAGTAGGCATGTGCTGAAACTGACAGCATTGACATGTGTGCAGTCTCTGGCCTGCGAAGAACGTGCATACACTTGAAAACAAGTGTCTCTCACCCAAATATATCCCATTAGAAATTTTTTACACATTTCTGGGTGTTTATTTTCCCCTGTCAATTCTGTCTTCTGATTTCATTCTATTGTCTTTCATTAATTGTCTTACTTCTATCATCTTTATTTTTATATTCCTGTAGCATGTTTTTCCTTCCTTCCTTCCTTCCTTCCTTCCTTCCTTCCTTTCTTTTTTTTTTTTTTTAATTGGCAACTGAATCCAGGGCTTTTACATTGATCCACATCTCCTGCCCTTTTTTAAATTTCATTTTTATTTTGAGATAGGGTGTCACAGTCACTGAGTTGCACATTTTAGGCTCAAAGTTGTGAACCTTCTGCCTCATCCTTTCAATGTTGGGACTATAGGCACATGCCTCCATGTCTCCATGCCTGGTTCAATTTTTTCATTTTTTAAATTAATTTTACTCTCAATACTTTTAACTTTAGTTCATTCTGTAATTTTTTTTACTTCTTTAACGTAGTCACTGGTGGTGTGATTATTGTTTTTCAGTTGATTGCAACTGTATTTCTATATATAGTTTGTTTTATGATGTGTTTGTTACTGTTATTACTTTTCTTAACTCAGAGTAGAGCTATAGATCCAGCACAGCACCTCATGCACTTTGGACTGGTGGTTTACTACTGAGCAGCGTTCACAGCACAGTGGAGAGAAACTGCACCTTACTCTCATTCAAACCTTGGAAATACTTCAACATTAAAAAGAGGAGAGCTAAAAAGGCCTCATCTGACAACTGGACCCCAAGTAGTCCAAGTTAGGCAAGTTCCAAACTCCTTCTTATGGAGACTTCCCCTTAGCAGCAGCAGAAAGAAAGAAATTGCACAATTCTTACACAAATAGAATCTATTCAGGACCTCAGTATAGGTCACAGCCTTACCATTGTAGGCAGCACATTGTAGACAAGACTAAACTATTAACCCCAGAAAGTGTACCTCAAATATTTTGCTATCCCCAACACAACTACATGAGCTACCAGAAGCACCTCCCTTTGCCATGACCTACAGAGAAAGTGGGTACCTCAGGCTCTGTCACAGTACCACAGGGTCAAATCTCATCATTCTCTGGCAGAGAAGTCACAGGGAAACTACACTAGCAAGTCCAGTGGAATTAAATTCAACATTACATAAAAATTGAAATACAAGAAATGTGAAAAAATAAGCTAAAATGACTGACTCAAAAAATATCAGATTTGCCCATTGATTTTAAAGAATTGAAGTGTGTTAAAGACTGGACAAAGTATTCAAAAGAATGATGTTAAAATGATCGATAAACTAAAAGAGAATACATATAAATAACTGGATGCATTCAAGAAGACAATGTAAGATATGAAAGAACATTTCTGCACAGAGATAGAAATACTGAAAAAGAACTAAGAACCAAAAAGAAATCTTAAAAATTAAAAGCTCAATATGTGAATTATGGCCTCACAAAAAATAAAACATTCAACCTCACTAACATACTAGACAAGGTGGATACATTATCACATTCAGAGATAGTGATACCAACAACAAAAACAAAATCAGAATATACAAGCCTCAGGTGACATAAATAAAAGACCAAACTTGTAAATTATTATTTAAAAAAGAGCAGAGATACAAATTAAACCTATAGAAAGCCCATTAAATAAAATAACAGCAGACATTTTTCCAAATGTTGGAAAAGATATGGGTATCTAAATTCAGGGTATACTGAGAGCCCTACATAGATATGATCAGAAAACAACTTCTTCATGCTTTATACAGCTAGATTCCCAAATAAGCTGAACAAAGAAAGATTATTAAAAGCTGCAAGAAGAGAATTCTCAAGTCATTTATTAAGGCAAACCCATCAGAGTAAGGCAGATTTTTCAGCAGAACTCTAAATGCCAGGTGAACATGGTGTGTATATTTCAAGCACTAAAAGTAATAACTGCCAACTTACATTACTATATCTAAAAAGGTATTCTTCAGACTTGGGTGAGGAATAAAGATTTTTTCTAAATAAGCATAAAATAAATGAATTTATGACTATGAAGCCTGCTTTATAGAAGATATGTGGTATAACAGAAAGATACAATGAGCGTTTCCATTTTAGAAACATTTGTTGGAATGAAAGACAGATCACTATCCATCACCCCAGGATCCGTCCCCTTTGCTTCAAATACTCATCCCGTCCTGTCATTACTGCCACTTTCTGAAGCAGATCTGGGAGTCACTGTCATGGGTATCTTCAGTTCACTATTCTGCTTGCCGCATTGTCCTGAGTGAATTCAATACATTCACCCTCCCTGGTCATTTTGATTTTGGGGAAGAGTCAGAAGTCACAGGTGTCAACTCCAATGAACAATGTGGACAAGGACCCAGTAATCGGTTTTACTAGCTTGCCTTTGCCTTTGCCTTTGCGTTGGATGACACTCAACAGCAGCATTCTCTGTATTTTTTAAAAATCATGCTTTGAATGCAAAGATACTTACGAAAGAGGCCTTTTAGACCTGCTTCAGTGGCAGGCACGACAAAATAAGTGTATTGAAGTGAGAGGAATAATTTGAAGGGGATTAATGTCAATGTTTCTGTTACTGTAACTTTTTTTTCAACTTTACAACTACACTTTGCTTACTCCATGTACTTAAAGACTCCCACACACAGGGGGAAAAAAAAGGAAAACAAAATCATGATAGCATAATCTCACTGGAAGAGTAGAAAACTCCATGATAATTAGGAGAAAATCAAACATACTTTCAGCAAAACATCAAACCCCTCAGATGAATAAGAAATAAAGAGAGGAATAGAGTATTCAAAACAGAAGTAAAACAACAAAATAACAGAAATCAGTACATAATTTTCAGTCTTTACCTTAAGTGTAAATTGTATTAATTGTGCAATTAAAAATGCAAACTGGTTGGTTTAAAATCAAAACCCAAAAATCTACTGCCTGAAAGAAACCTATTTTACTGGAAAAAATATACACAGACTGAAACTGAATTATTGGAAAACGATGTTCAAACCAAGATACCATAGCCAGTAGAGTTAGAACAAAACATAGTTTCCCCAACTACATTATGCTGCACCTTGTCCTTTCAAGCATATTTGAATGAATGAATTAAAAAAATGAGTTAAAATTGTAAGTCTTATGTAATCTTGGCATAACATATAATTAGATGGAGCAATATTTCCTTTCTCCAAAAAAGAAAGATTATTTCAGACTCCTGTCCTTGTCCAAAATTTTCCTACCATACTCTACAGTATTTCTAAACACAACAGCTACCTCTCAGAGAATAACCATTCACACCAAACTTCTTGGCAAAGTGCCTTACAAAGTAATAAGTAGACAGATAAATAGTAGTGATGATGATGATAATAGAAGCATTAATATACCAGGAAGTTTAATATTCATTCAGTCATCTTTAATATCCCTATTATAAAATAGCTGAAATTGTTATCCTTGTTGTGCAGATGAGAAAAATGAGGAGCAAGGCACTAAATTACTTTTCCAAGACCACATATCTATCAAGTGACACAGCAGCACTCCAAAAAGGCAATTTAGTCCCACACTTAACACATGTCTGACAGCCTATTGTCTCTGGCAAACATCTTTTATGCACATATATAGTTATACATATTAATGTATTGTAATTTCTTCATATTGCCTTCCCTTTTGGTAATACAGTTTATTAAGTATCTCTCTAAATAAAGATGTTAGAAATAAAACCAATCACTATTCCTAGGCTAAATATTTTGTCTCAAATGGCAAATAAGAAATGTGACTCACCCTAACTCCCTGTCAGCAGTTAGGCCCCAAGACCATAGGAGGCAGGCAACTTTATATTCACATTATGTCTATTTTTACATTTTAGGAAATTACACTCATAGAAGAAAAGAAAAGCACACAAATTCATTAATGCATGGGAAAGCTTCAACTAAATCTAAGATTGACCTAATGCTAGGGCCATTGTCATCTTCTACTAGACTTTTCTCTGAGTGCTATGCGTCTTTTATGTTAGATATTCAAAAATGCTATTTCCCCCAAGGGGATGGTGCTGTTGGCAAGGCAGGTACATTTTCTGTAACATATTCCATGAAATCAACATCTGACTGACTCATTTTGGTTCTGCTGTCTCAGCTGTTGCACGTAAATAACAATTATAAAAAGATTTGAAATGAAAAGGATGCCCTTTCCTATGGGCCCCATTTGTTCATTCCCAGCTCCATAAAGGGAATGTTTCACAGACATTCATCTGTGTAGATGTCTAAGGTATAGGCCGTAAACTCTAAAATCATTGACATCCTTTTCGAAAAGGAAAATCTTTTCAAGGAGGGAGTGGTTTTGAGTGTTTCATTGACAAGTTCATGCAGTAATATAACAGGCATTTACCACTGCCAGTTTTGGAAATTAAATGAGTTACAGAAGCTGAACAGTGGTCATGGAAAAAAAACCATGACATATAAACCTAACTTATCATATTACCAACAATGATACATTTCCATTTCATTATTCTGGTTAATTTCTTTCTTTCTTTTCTTTTCTTTTTTTTGGGGGTTGGGTGGGTACTAGGGATCAAACTCAGGCCTTGAGAGACAGGTGGAGGAACCACTGAACAAAATCCCCAGTCCCCTGGTTAATTTCATATTCCTTGAAAAGCACATTACATTTATAGTAATTCATTGAATGAATTAGAAAAACATGAGATGAATATTAGAAAAGTAAAACAGATGGCCATAAACCAATAGGGAGAGAATACTGAATCACATAAATAGAAGCATTAAAAATATTTTCTGGAGTACCAAAGGGACAATTTGCTGGACAAATCTATAAATGTCCATAGCATTAGGGAAAATAACATGTTATGAGAAATTTTAAACATGCCTTTGTTGCTGGGACAAAGGAAGTTCTTATTTAGCTGGAAAGAAAGTCATTTAAGAGATAATGAATGAAATATTTGTTTCAAAAATACATTGGGCAATGAATGAAAACTGGAGGGATTCAAAGCTTATGTAAATAAACCAATTTGAAAATAACTGCAAATGTCATGGGAACAGTAGTTATTACATTGTCTTATTAACAATACTTGTTAGATTTATCTTGAGTGAATATAAAAATTGAGTAGGGATGACACTTTTGTGAGATACTGAGATAATAGGTTAAATATGGAGATTGAGGAAAGCAATCATCAAAAGTCTAAAGATCTTTTTCTTCCAAATATGGATGGAAATATTCAGTTTCACTTAAATATGTTATCTGGAAAAAGACTGGAGAAGATGACAAGATTAGATTTATATGCATTGAATTTAAATTTGATCATTCCAAAAGACATGAATGTCTAAAGACTCTGAGGAGAAATCTGGCTCGATGTTAAATTTTACATGGTATTCCGTGTAAGTAATAAGTGACATTATTTTCAAGGATTCAGCTGCATTGACATTCACAACATGAATCTAATAAATATCTTTGAAATTTCTAAAAGAGTAATGTATTAACATAAATATGATTTTAAAGAAATTCAATTATAAAACAAATGTAAAACTTTTGACATTTCTGAAGAAACACAGAAGCACATATATTCACATATACATTCACAGAAAAGAGAAACATAATATATTAAAAGTCTTATACAAAATGCATAAATCAAAATTTTAAAACACATTATTCTATTTACAGATAACATTTCAGACTGAATCACAAAACAAAATGAAGCT